GAAAAATGGGCAGCCTCCCGCTGATTACAACCAACTTCTAATCAAATAAGATCAAGGCATGGCAGGCGAGTAAGCAGGAGGTTGGCCCATTACAGAAGGGCGGAGCCACTCCCAGAAAGGCTCCAATATTGATACTCCTGTCACACAAGGGAAAACACCTTTTTTTCTCATGCTGCAGAGAGGAGGATACAGACCAATGGCTTGAAGGTGCAGCAAAGTAAGTTTAGATTCGATATCTGGAAAAACTTTCTCTGTCAGAATAGTGAGGCAGTGGAATAGACTGCCCAGGAGAACTGTGGACTTTCCATCACTGGAGGTGTTCAAGGAGTTGGACAGCCACTGGTCAGGGATGATATAAGTGTAGTTATGCTTATGTTCTACTATGAGTATTTCCTATGCTTCTGGGCTTTGCTGGTTGCCTTCACCCCTACTTTCTGCTGCATGCATCAGGGTGTTTTTAAATCTCCCCCACAGGCATTGGGTGTTGGCTACAGCCAAGCCTGGGGACTTTGACTGGGATGTGCCAATGCTCCTGCTGGGAACAAAGCTGGAGGTTCCTGGCTACAAGGTATTGCCCCTCTACTCAGGGTCAGACTGATGGCCATTTTTGGGGTCAGAAAGGAATTTTACCCTATGGTCAGATTGGTACAGACTGTGGGGGGGTTTGCCTTCCTCTGAAGGATCTCTTGAGCATATATTGACGTTTCATAGAAGCAGAATGTTGCCTTCCATGGTTCCTCAGCTTTACCTGTGGCAGGTTAGGGTGTTAGGTCTGTCTTGTGGTAGTGCCATAACAGGATGCCACATGCTAGAGTAGTATTCATGATTACAGGACCATTAGCTTTTGCTCACACACACAAGTGAAAAAACTGACTTAGGCTCTGAGTTCCATGCTCTGCTGTCAGGATGCCTTGTGTGCTGTCAGCCAACTCCTGACTGATTCAAAACCCAAAAAATAAGGTCAATTTCAATCAGTACTACGCTGCCATTGGTTATAGCACCAGTAATGTTGGGACAGTTTGCATGAATTCACCTTTGTATCCTAATATTTATTTTAATAATACTATTGTGAAACTTTAATTTTTTGTAGGACTGAGACGGAGACTAACACTTGGCTGGGATGATTTAGTCAAGGATGATCCTGCCTTGAGCAGTGGGGACTAGACTAGATGACTTCATGAGGTCCCTTCCAGCCATACTTTCCTATGATCCAAGAATCCTGA